ATGTTTCAAATGGCTTTGTTTGGCTTCCTCTCGCTTCTGTATTCCTTGGGTCTCACTGCTGCCATTTTATATTCCCCATACTATAATTCAGCTTTTATAGCTTCTCTTATTCAATATTCCTTTCTCTTTTCCTTCTTCAAATCATCAAATTATTTTAATGCATCCCAAAGCCCCAACACAAGCTCTAAAGAAAAAAAAAAAAAAACGAAGGCAAAGTCTTAACTTGTCCTTGCTCTGCTAGGCTTTAAGGATGAGGTTTTTTTTTTAAAAAAAAAAAAAAGAAACAAAGAATTCTCATAGAAAAATATGCAAATATTGTATTTGAGGATTTAATCTGTGCAGAGACACTTCTGACATACTTCCAGAAGTTTGGGGAAAGAGGTCAGAAGGAGGATAGGTGGATTTGAAAGAAACCACCGCTACAGGCTCACACTCTTGGGATTCAGGAGACGAGACGTGGGTTTTGGACTTTATAGCTGGGCCCTATAAGCAGTTTGGCTGCTTTCAGTTTCACTGTGGAACAAAAAAGTTAAACCAAATGAGCCTTAGAGTCCTTACCCTAGGGCTGCTCAACAGCATCACTTCTAGGATTGAGGGCTGACTGTTCCATCGGGGGTGGGGAGGGCCTCCTTTTCCATATGCTGCAGAGTGTTTACCCACAACCTACCCTAGAGCCACTCCATACTCCTGGCCCTGGCCCCATTACCCCCCTTCAAAGTTTCTCCAGACATTGTCAAATATCCTCTGAGGGACAAAGCCCCGACTTGGCAGCTGAAAAACAGTGCTTTCTAGCTAAAATCCATGATGAGAGCCTTATTTGATCTTTTCCCATACTTTCTATCAATCAGCTTGATAGCTTGAGTATTTTAAGGGCCATATTTCCAGTAGGCTTTTCCCAGATTCTGATTTTTCTGAATTAACGTTGTAGGAATCAGCTTACATGGAAACCACAGAGAAACAGGCTAAAAGCCGGAGGTGAAAGAGATTACCGATTATAAAATATATGGCAAAGGTTCCTCACGGAACTGTGCAACAGAGAAGGACTTTAGACCAGACCTTGTTTACACTAATGTACCCATAAAGTGACCTGTCAAGAACAATTGAGGGCAACCGTGTCCTGGCTCCTGTTTTCATGGAAGACTGTCTCCAAAATGAAAATATAAGCAAAATGTAGATAGAGAGAGAGAGAGAGAGATAGATAGATAGATAGATAGATAGATAGATGATAGAGATAGATAGGTAGATAAATAGATAAATAGATGATAGATAGGTGATAGATAGATAGATAGATAGATAGACAGATATAGGTAGATAAATAGATAAATAGATGATAGATAGGTGATAGATAGATAGATAGATAGATAGATGATAGATAGATAGATAGATAGATAGATAGATAGATAGATAGATGCATGCATATTACATTCCTACGAGAAGAGCTTAAACAATAAAGTATGTGCATCATCCCTTCTAGTAAGTGGATCCTAATGATATAAATGTATTTGCTTCTTCATTCAGAAAAACGCCTTGTCTGCAAGTTAAGAAATGCTATCCCATTTTAAATGATATTAACTCCTGTTTTAGTACTTCTGGGTTTATCTAAATACAATAAGCTCACCAATTGTGTGCCATCTGCCTGTGTTGCCCTACTGTGTGTTTGTTTCTCCAGGGTGGTGACAAAAAAAAATCTATGGAAGCTGCAAATAAACCGAAAGTTACGGATATTAGATTACTGCACACAAGATAAAGATAGCAACCCCTCTCCCATAGCTCCAGGAAAGCACAGTACAGTTATCTTACAGTAAATACTGTGAATGAAGGAAGCTAGACTCTAATAATTGACATCTGTTTTCCCCATGTGCAGCAATGTTTGTCATAGAAATGTTCTCAATCCATTGAAGTGAGTGTGCTTGCTTGTTTGGATTTAAGACAGGTTCTTGATGTGTAACGCATATCAGCCTTGGATGCGGCTACCTCAGCCTTTTGAGTGCTGAGATCACAAGCACATATCACTGTTTTGAAAAAAAAAGAATCTAAGATTTCATTTGCTCCTTGTGGGAGATGATGAATTCCTCCACATTATCACTCTCAGGTTATGAGAAAATGAGCATACAAAGCAGAAAGGTTTGCCTTAATTTCCCAGTAGTTCATTGTATGATGTGCACGTCCAGTTATTCCTGATACGTATATTATTTTTCCTTAAGGAGATCATCTTTCAGGCCTTAAAAGCATATCCTTAACACTGATGGTTTTGAAGCCTTTCTCTTTTTCCTTTTTGTCTAATTCTTTTTTTCTTTTTTATTAAGAATTTTTTAATACAGTCTTTTCTCATTTTACATAGCTATCCCCATTCATACTCCCTCGTGCCCTCCTGCCCTTCTCCCTACCCCCTCATCCACTCCTCAGAAAGGTTAAAGCTTCCCATGGGGAGTCACATCACTTCCAGGCAGAACCAAGGCCCTTCCTGCTATATCTAGGCTGAGCAAGGTATCCCTCCAGTTCAAGCAGTAGGGATAAATCATGGCCCCACTGCCAGTGGCCCCACAGACTGCCAAAGCCTCACAACTGTCCCCCACATTCAGAAGGCCTAGTTGGGTCCTATGCAGGTTCCCCCACTATCAGTCCAGAGTCAGTGAGCTCCCCTAGCTCAGGTCAGCTGTGTCTGTGGGTATCACCATCATGGTCTTGACCTCTTTTCTGATGTTATTGCTCCTCCCTCTCTTGGACCGGAGATTTAGTTATTATTTTTATATGTGTGTGCCATCATTGAGCTTATGTGCACTATATGCATGCAGGAGCCTGCTGAGGCCAGAAGAGATTGACAGATCCCATTGAACTAGAGTGATAGACAGTGGTCAGCTGTCATATGTGCTGGGAATAAAACACAGGTCCTTTGCAAGAGCACCAAATACCCTTAACCACTGAGCTATCTCTCCTGTCATTTGGTCTAATTCTTTTACCCAATATCCCAAGCAGCCTCTAATTGTGTCATATGTACCCCTAATGATGCCTCTGCATTGTCAATTCTATTCTTAATTGCTTGCAAAGAAGATTTGCAGCTTGCCAATTAAGTACTCAGTTCATTAACTGGGAGGGAATTGTATTTCTCTTTTTAAATATATTTTTAAAAGTTTCATACATACATATAAAAATATACACAATGAAGTACGATTATATTCAGGGAGATTAATCTCACTCTGATAGTTCATTTCAGATTGGTGTATTTTAATTTAATTCTGATCCATTTTTATAAACATATTTTGTTAAACAGGTTCTTCCTTGACATTATTCTGGGAATACCTGAAAAGTATTTTTAATGTTCTAAAATAAATTTTCAAAGGTATTAATTTCACAATTTCAGATGAATTCATATATATGTGTACATATATATGCACATATAGAGAGAGCTTAAATTATACAGGAGATTTAAAGTATAGAAATGGCTAGAATTTTAAATAACTATGAAAAGGCAAGGCAGACATTTCATGACTAGCTAGAGGGAAGCAGATTAGAAAGGGCCAGGAAATCTTTTATCCTCCTAAACTCATGTCTGCTCAGCTGATGGATCCTCCAAATGAAACCAGGGAGTTCGGCATCTTGAGGCATCCTGCATGCAGACACCCCGGGTGCTGTTCGCCTCCATAATTGCAGATAATGGCTTGTCGCCTCTCCTTCCACACAAATTAGTTCATCAAGTCACACCCTGACAAAGCCTAACAAAACACTAGACTTCTAGTTGTAGGGATCCGTGAGCCAGCGCCAAATAAATGTGGGTAACAATTAGGAAACAAGAAAGAGATACTTGTGATTCTGGACAGAGGAGCTTTAGAACTAAGTTGGAGGGGGAATAATGGGGGCTCAAGGGCACAGCAGGGGAAGATGGGAGTCGTCCATCAATATGTAGATATGGTATAGAAACAGAATGTTCTGTAAGCTCGTTGGTGCCCCACCATGCCATCTCACTCTTTCAAAAGCAATGTCTCGTGTTGGAGAGATGGCTCAGTGGTTAAAGCATCAGCTGCTCTTCCAGAAGACCTGGGTTCAATTCTCAGCACCCACGTGTCGGTTCACAACCATCTGCCACTCCAGTTCCAGAGAAGATCCAGCACATTTTCTGGCCTCTTTAGGCACCAGCCATGCATGTGGTACACAGACACACATTCAGACAAAACACCTACGTACGCAAAACACAGAAAGATACTTTGATTTTTTTTCTATATACATATTAAAAATTTAAAGGGGAAAGCAAGAAAAGTCTAACTGTTCAAATTATTCCTTACTGGATGTTCTACATGTCATTTGATCAAGTATTTAACAGATCCTCAAACTGGTGTATGACTAATGACATTTTTACCAAGAAAAGAATTGATTGCTTAGAGAATAACTATTCTTTTATTAATACCTTATGAGCCTTACTTCCCTGCGATAAACAGATACAATTCTCCATCTCTGTAAAGATCATTGGCCCATGTTTCATAGCTCTTCCTTCCAAATGCCTTCCATTTCAAGAAACTCCTATGCATTTAAAACTGTCCTCCTGCATCCTTGTAAACTCATTGATAAATTTCTGTTTGAATATATCCTGGCGGAACATATTCATGTACATAAACACTCATGGTGTATGTATGGGCTAACTGGAAATACCAGTTAGAGGCAGTTAGTCTCTACACCTTCACCCTACTTCATACTCCCCCCTCCACCAGCCTCCACTCCATCCACTCCCCATACCCCTTACCTCTGCCCTACTCCTAGTTAGTGCTTCCTGCTAAGTCAATGATCAATCTTGTTGGCTTGACCTTATACAGATATTATTTTATGTAACAAGCATACTCTTTAAAGTAAAAGTCTCAATACCACAAAAACAAGAAATTATATCAGAGGCCAGGCTTACTTTACCACTGTTTGTTTATTTTGATGTCTTCTAAGGCAGGGGAGATGGTTTTTTGTTCATTGTCCAGGACACGAATATCTCACAGAAGCTCTTATATCTCTTTTCGTAGATTATTTATAGGTTAAAAGAAAGGTTTCAGCTTTCCTTAAGACAAGACAAAGAGAAAAACCAGGAGATCCACCTATCACCCATTGCGTTACAGCCAGCGCAGTCCGAGGCCAAGACAGCCCACAGCATGGTCCAGCCCGAGCAGGCGCCAAAGGTGCTGAATGTTGTTGTGGACCCTCAAGGTCAATGCACTCCTGAGATTAGAACCACCACCTCCACCTCTGTCTGCCCTTCTCCCTTCAAAATGAAACCCATAGGACTTCAGGAGAGGTAAGAGTTTTGTCTGAGAGTTCACCTACAGGCTGGTTTTTGTTTTGCTTTGTTCTGAAAAAGTCTCCTTCAGCTACAAAGGGTGAAACTGGAAATGACTGGCCATGGGATAGAATCATTCATAACCAAATGGGCACCAAGAAGTATGTTTCTAGTCACCCAATGGAATCTCTGTGCTTAGGAAAACCTTGCAGGTACATATGGTTCTTTGAAGTTTGTGTAGACCCCAACAAAGTCCATCTTCAACAATGGGATGGTTCCTAGCACCATTTACTATGTACTTATCAAGGGCCACTAACCAAACAGAGGTATCTCACTTAATTATAATCAAACATGGTACAAAGCAGTTGATAATAAGTGTAAGACTATTTCTTACAGATGCCCATGTTGTTTGAAGAAATGTAGAAGTCTGTGCCACAAATGAATTTGTCTAAAGTTTTCTTTCTGTAATTTTACCATATCAAAGTTAAAGCCTTTCTCTTTATTTAAACAGAAAAGGGGAGGTGATGTGGGAGTACCCTCTGTGTGCTGTGATTACCATCAATGAATAAAGAAACTGTCTTGGCCTGTTGATAGGGCAGAACTTAGGTAGACAGGGAGGACTGGACTGAATGCTGGGAGAAAGAGGGTGGAGTCAGGGGACGCCATGGATCCGCCACCGGAGATAGACGTGCTGAAACTTTGCTGGTAGGCCATGACCTCGTGGTGATGTACAGATTAATAGAACTGAGTTAAATTAAGATGTAAGAGTTAGCCAATAAGAAGCTAGAGCTAATGGGCCAAGCAGTGTTTTTAATTAACGCAGTTTCTGTGTGATTATTTCGGTTCTGGGTGACCGGCACGAATAAGCGGCCCTCTCTCCTACATAACCACAACAAGAATTATTTATCAAGATCTATATTTTTGTTACCCTTCTCTGTCTTTGCGATGTATTTATTCATTTGATATGCTTCCATGTAAAGCAAGTCTATGAAAGAAAACTGGAATATGCAGTGTACATAATGAAGGGTAAATTTTTTTCTTCCTCCAAATATTATTAAACTCTTTTCACAGTGTTCTTAAATAATTCTTTTATTTTTCCAGTGGTGTGTGAAATTGGACATAGAGACTGAGGCGGTAGGATTACCATACGTTTTAGGCCACCCTGAAATATATAGTGAGTTCCAGGTCAGCTTGACTTACAGTGTGAGAGTCTGCCTTAAAAAGAAAAGAAGATCTAAAAATTATTTTAATGTATTGCTCGTGAATGATCTGACAAGAGAGAAATTTGTTGTGGTGAGCTATGAAAGCTCTTAGCCAACAAACAGTTGATCACACTTTAGAGGAGAGAGTGCAATCAAATCATTCCTCCTGTCTCCTCCCACAAAGTGCTATTGCCTTCCTGACAGCTCTACCCCAGCCCCCATGCGACAGTCTTGCACTTGGGTATAGCTAAATGACAGTCTCAGAATTGGTCTGGAAATCACTGTGAGAGAGACCTTTTCTCTCGAGGGTAACTTGGAGTCGGGAGAACTGGGCCGTCACTCATTTATCCTTCACTTCCTTCTAAACTAGGAAGGGATGAGCTAGGATTCTCAGCTTCTTTCTTTCCAGGCTCAGGCACTTACAGTGGCTTCAAAGGGAAGCCTTGAGGCAGAGAGCCAATGCCAAGGGCAGAACAGCAGTGAGGGTCATCCTGGCTGTAGACAATGTAGGAAAGGTACACTAAAGAAGATTTCAAGACAGTAATAAACAGTTTTTTTAAAAACCAGGCTAATTTTAATTGCTGCCATGCACTACTAATTCTAAGCAAGGTCAGCGTGACCCTTTCCATGAGGGGAGCTATGGCTGCAGCAATTCTGCTCTTACTTGAATCTCGAGCAGCGTCAGGTTAAAGATTCACTTGTTAGTTTAACTGAAGTGCATGTTGGAGAAAGGCGGATACTCAAGTGATATCTTATTCATCTCTGTGATCCACGCGAAATGCTATTTTAAAACAAACAAACAAAAAAAAACTAGGGCCTAATCTGTATTGAATCTTTATTAAATGTATCCCATTTCCCCTGGTCTCTAATGAAACTGAACTCAAACTCTTCATCAAGTCATGTCCCTTTGTGTATTCTGAATCCTAGGAATCTGATAATATCCCCAACTGTCTTACTTCTTCCCCTCCCTCTCATGCTGTACCCAAGCCCTGTGAGGATATATCATCTTCCCCTAGGACTCCATTCTTTCCAACTTCATTACCACCGAGGACTTGAGATTTCCCATTTCTCTTAATCAATATCATGCTGACCCTCCTGCCTCAGGTTCTGTCCTTCTGCAATCCATCCCCAGATGTCTCAAACAGTAGTATTCTAGAATACATTTGAATGCCTTTCTTTTTAAATTCCTCAGTATTTCCACTTTTCTTTTTGGAAGAAATTGATTTGATCATTCCTCTGTATAGAATATGACACCCTCTCTGGCCTAACTTTTTGCCAGCCTCTGTCAGACTTTATTTCCTGCTAAACACCCACACATTACCCATGCTGCTACTGTGGTGTTTTTCCAGGCACTGTACCAAACTCTTTAAAGTCCATGAAATAGTACTTGCCTGGGCTCTGTCCTTCATTTCCCTATTTGCTGTTAGAAAGTGCCACCATTGTAGTAAGAATGAATCTGCATCTACAAATCAGGAAATGAGAAATGCATTTTATTTCTCTGTAACCCATACTAAACTTTTGTTCTAACTCCCATCCTGCCATTTATGGCAGAAACTTGATCTCAGCCCCATTCTTGTTGACTCAACCTCAGGTCCCTCTTGCTTGGGAATTTCATCTAGATTTTTAAAGGACCTTTTTAATATAAAATATGAGAGTCCCATTTGCCTTGAGCTATCCATCCAAATTGCTACTTGCTAAACTGTCCATTACATCCTGTATCCTCAGAGGTTCACTTATGACTGTTGTTCCAGCTCGTATCTTCTGTCTGTTCATACAAGCCCCTCTGTTTCTTTGGTGACTGTCACTCATTCCCTCCCTCCTCCTGCCTAGACTTTCTCCAACACACTGTGAGATACAACAATATATTCTCACTGCTGATTTCTACACCTCAAGTGTATATAGGAAACTCTATGCCAAGCACCAGCTACTCTTTCTCGTGGTTCTACCAAGCATCAAGGTTCCCCTGCGAAAGGTCTCCCATTTCTCCAGGGCTCAGCCATAAAAGGCAGTGTCTTGCCAGGACTCCAGCTCCCAAGTCATCTCGACTAGCGCTTCTCCTTCCCCTAAGTCCATGGACTCTTTCTCTGGCTTTGTGAATAAGATTCTCTACTCGTGTTTATTTCCCATATCCCTTTACCCGGCAGCCAGACTTTCAGAGGAGCTCCTCCCCTGAGCACCTTTAGAACTAAGAAGACAGAACCCATAGTGCTTTGCCTTCTGCTTTCACATTTCTTCCTACAAGCAATAAAACACCAAACAGCTTGACAACGTGAAGACAAGAAAGGTTCAAAGAGGAGGGGAGGGCTGGAAAAGAGGGAAGAAACTTCACCCATCACTTCCTCTTGAATGACTCAGGATCGTTCCTCACAGGCTCTGAGCCTCACCCAGGCAGCCCAACACTAACCCAGGAACTTCTCTCCTGCTACCTTCTGCATTAATCCCAAAACTTACGTGCCTAGACTGCTTCTAGAACTCATGTGTGTATTGTCACTTTTAGTTCAGTGCCTGTCATGGCCAATAGACTCAGAACTTCTGGAGGACATATATACTTTTTTAGTGGTTGTTTTATCTCTTCCATATAGAACGTAATCTCTGGAGAACAGGAGCTCCTAGAAACGAATGAATTCATGAGTTACTTCTCAGGTCAACTCCCAACAGGGAAATACTTTGCTTATCCTGTCAGCCCTTCCTTCCTCTCTGTTCTCGCTCCTATCTTTCTGTCATAAATCTCTGCCAGCATAGTGGATTATGTTAAGAATGACAAAATACAATGCCTAGATTGTGTGTTACACAGTCAAAAGAAAGTTTTCTGAAATTTCACCCTTAATCCTTAAAGTTTTATGCTTATGTATTCTAATAGTACCTTTTAAAAAGCCTCATGTTTTATTTCCAGAGCTTGATCCTGACACAAAGTAATTATAGTTGTTTATTTCATAAACATCTAGCTATAAAGTCATGAGATTATAAAGGATGCTTTATTAATCAACAGTCCTCAAAGGCTCTTGGGTTATGCTGTATAAATCTCATCCTTGGTAACAATAGTATAATTTTAGTTATAATTGTAAGTAAAATAAGATAGAAGCTAAATGTACATGCTTATATAAATAAGAAAATATGTAGTAAAAATTATTATAAAGATTACAAATCTATACAATGTAGGAGTTATAGTAGTTTTTTTTCTCTGTTCCCAATTATCCACCCCTAAATCCTAGGGATTCTTGCTTTTCCAGCTTTCTCATTATTGATACTCTGTTCACTCACCATGGACCTGGCTTGCATTACTTCATCTTTGCATCTTATAATTATAAAAATGCCATTAGAATTAATATAGTTTAGATATCATATATGCAATATTTTATTTTATCCCTTCTGTCTAGATCTCATTCTTTCCATTTGTTAATTCATAGTATATTCTCTTCAGACTTACCTTCCTAAAACAATATTTATTACTACTTATTATCTTACTATGAGACAATCCCCCAATCACCGACAGAAAAAGACATCCTTGCTGGATCCAAGAGATCCTAGACCATTTAATTCAGATTTTTCTCTCCAGATCTGTTTGCTACTGGCCCCAAAACAACACCCTATCCTACCCAATCTTCTCCCATTCCTGCCTTCTTCTGGGCCTTGTGTTTCTGCTAGCATTTCAGCCTTTGCTTAGTTCTTGTTCCTTTTCTTGCCGTCGTCTCCAGTCTCCACAGCACAACATAAAAGTTGCCTTCTCCCAGGGACTGTGCAGCCTATCCATACCCATGGGGCTTTGTGACAACAGTGAACTCACAAACGAACCACTGCCTAGGAGTGATTTTTACT